TCTGTTCATCCACACAGAACAGATCAGCTTATGCACTGAGGTGAACATCTATCAAGGTTTTGAACAGGCTTTGATACTTCTATTTATATTTTAGCTTGCATACTTTCTCCTTGCAATACTGGCTCTGGTTAGGACCATATTTATTTAATATATCCTCAGAAGTTACTTTCTTCAATATCTACAGATCAGAAAGAAATATGAAAGAAAATCTCAGGAGAATGCCTGTTCCTACAAGATTTGCAGGCCTTCAAAGAGAAATATAAAGGTTCGAGTTCAGGTTCTGGCGGGGAATTAGGAGAGGAAATGATTCTTAAATGGCTGGTTTAGAACATGTTTCCAAATATTGAGTCTACATATGGGGTGGTTCTTTTTTTTTTATCTTCTCTTTATTTCCTTTCATATAATTTAACATCTCATTTTCTCTCTAAGAAAACAAGATTTTCTTGTTTTTAAAGTCCCAGTGTCTTTCAAAGCTCAACGTGAATTCCATGAATGAACTGTTTAAGTATGCATTTGCCTTCGAGTACCTCATGCTATTCTGACTCATTAAGATGTGCTATTAACTAGCTGTGAACAAAGCCAGCTTAATTCTTTAATGTAAAGCAACGCATCATTGACAAAAAGGACTCAGTAAAACAATATTGAGTAAAAGGACAATGTATAAATGACAAAATACCATAAAGAGCAAACTAGTGGATAAAGCCATCATTGCAGGTTACTGGCAGCACGTATTCGAAGTCAATGTTTGAGATGGGGAAAGAAGATGAACAAGAGTGAGTGTTAGGCTGATTTTTTTTAAACACAGACATGCGTACTCTGTCGTAAGTTGACAGGTTTCAGGGGAAGTTAGTCACGTTATAAACAGGTGTAGAATTCGGTGGAAATGCTCAAAGGTTGAAATGTTGCTGTCAGAGGTGTGGCTGCAGCTTCACAAACGTGGTCATGCTCAAATGAACTTTAAACTGGTCAGTCTAGATGCCCTTATATAAACAAGTGCCTTTGTGTAAATAGTTGACTACATACTCTGTTTATGAAACCTCAGCTCCTTCCAGTGCTCCTTCTGGATAAAAAAACCCAGTAACACACAGAACATAATCCCTAGCATTTTGATGTTTTCTGCAAACTCTTTGCTCTCCCCATTCCCTTCTGCTTCAGGAATTAGATCTGTCTGAAAGTGACTTAAGAATGGAAGATATTTGCAAGCAGCTGAATATAGCAGTTCTTACTGGATCAAATATGTCCTTTTGGCTTCTTCCTCCAGCCAGTGTACGCAGTTATCAGAAACATTTGGCTATTCTGAGTATGCTAAGGAGGGCCTTTACAGGACAGTGTGCTTTATCGAGAGATAGATATGTTTTTGCGCGAGTTGCCAACTGCTAGTTTCCAAGAGAACATACAGCAGCAAAACCAGAAAGAAGCCCTCTGTGTACTCATATGGCTTTAAAAATATTTCCTGCCATAATGGTGTGAGCAGTTGTTTCTTGAGAGTGAGCAAAACACTGAGAACCAAGAACAGGGTCTAACACTGCGTTCTCCATGGCATCCCTGGGACAATAGCTCATTTCTGGCAGTGTGGGTGCAACGCCTGCCCTCAGCCACTCCACCCCACTCCATTGCCTTGGCTGGAGCACTGCTGGCTCCCAGCATGGGCATGTCTTGAGGCTGAAGACAGAGCCTTCCCTCTCCAACAATGGCCCCTACACCTCCAAACAGCAAAGGGAGTCCTTCCAATGGAGTCCACACACAAACAGACTCAAGTGCAAAAGCACGAAGCACCAGTGAGAGCGGGTGCTGCTTGGGTGAGAGATTCTCCTCAGCTCTGTCAGGCCTTCAAAAACATTCCTGGTGCTCATTGTCAAGGTAAACAGCATAGGTTTGCCTGGAGGGTTCCCAGCAGCTGGTTTGCGTGGCACAGTATTCTTAAGAGATGAGCGAGGTAGCTCTGAGTTGGCGCTTAGGTAATTATGAAGCTTTCCTGTGACAAAGGTGAAGTAAGAGATGTCAAAGGGAAGGGCTCAGGAGGGACAGAGAGCGGTGTATGCTTCTTTCTTCCCTCACACTGCTGACACTTTGTCTGGGAATGTCCCAGGCAGTGCTGCCCTTCCACCCAAGCCTCTCAGAACCTCAGTCACCCACAGACGGGCAGTTCAGCAGCAGTCCCTCTGTTGACTTATCCAAAGGAATCACAACTTCTGAAAACAGAAATGATTTCCACAGTACTTTTTGGCTAATGCTGAAGTTTGTGAAATGTATGCAAAACAGAATTTCTTCACCTCTGAAGGTGGATGAAGATGAAATCTCTGTTGCAATTCATCAGCTTTGCATAGCTGTTCAAATTGTTTTGCTCTTTTTATCCTTCTGCTAGTTTTGTAGTAATGTATACAGCAATATCTCCTCAGCCTCACATGAATCCAATGTAAGCAGGGAAAAAAAGGAATTCACGCATCTGCATACACATGAATGGAAAGCTGAATTAAGTATAGCTCGTTGCTATTACACTTGTTGCTAAACGCAAGTCTCGGGAGTGTCAACTCAAAACCTCTGGCAGAAGAACGGGAACCAGCAGGAGCACGAAGCAGGAGTTACCGTCAGTGTACACCAGTCAGCACTAGTCAACGTGCAGCAGTCAGTCCTGGCGAGAGTGTGCCATCGCACACCGGTGGGCGTGCACTAGTGACTGAGGCTGGGGTTGAGCCGGGCGATTTGCTCCGCTCAGTTTTGTGTTGGCATCAGCAGGAGCTACTCAGATATTTTTAGGGATGGATCAGAGGGTCTGCAGGCAGAGTGGCTCAGGCATTTCTTAGAGCTAAGAATTAAAGTAACAGGTTTGTTTTGAGACAGAAGAAGGCTGCTGGGGGGTTAGAGATGGCATCGCGAAACCTCTGTCCTCTGTTCAAACTGGAGTTTTTGCATACCTGTAACTGGGCTGGGCTGGGGCTGAGCTGGCTGGAGCCCAGAGTGGGCAGTGAGCTGAGGTCAAGGCTGGGCTCTGAGGTGGCTGGTGGCTGGGACCGCCGGCTCTCTTCCCGTGAACACTTTTCTGCTTGCCTGCTGTCATGGGTTAGGCCGCTCCGGCAACCAAACCCTACACAGTCGCTCACTCCCCCACCCCCAGGCATGAGGGAGAGAATCAAAGAAGAAAAAGAAAAGAGATCCGTGGGTTGAGATAAGAACAATTTACTCCTACCGCTACCAATATATCTATGTACGGATATGTGCAAGGATAAATACATACAAACGAGTGATGTACGGTGTAACTGCTCACCACCCCTTGACCGAGACCCGTCTCATCCCGAAGCTGCAATCCCGAAACAGATAAAACCTGATATCGCAATCCCGGATGAATGGGAAGCCCCAAAATAGAGAGTGAGAGAGAGAGAAAACACCTCGAGAGTCCGAAAGTGAGAGTCCCGGAAGGGCAAAAGCCCTTCTTTCTGGCTGACCCTCACTTTTATACTGGGCATGACGCTGCATGATATGGAATACTAATTGGCCAGTTTGGCCCTCAATCTTAAGTCCAAGTACAAATTGTAAGGAGAGTCGTGACCCCCTTGTCCCTGCTATGCTCCCCCCTTATCCTGTGGTGCTCCTGCACACTGGCAAGAACACGGCAGCTGAAAAGTCCTTGAGACTTCAGTGTTAACTACAAACATCAGCTTGCTATCAACGTACTTCTCAGAGCGAGCCTCTGAGTAAAACCAAAACACAGAGCTTTTCTAGCTGCTAAAAAGAAGAGTTAACTCTGTCCCAGCTAAAACCAGGACACCTGCTTTCTACTGAAGAATTATCTTCAAATATGAATTCCATTACTAATTATCTCAGCCTTGGCTTGTTGAATTTTTTCTTGCATAAAAACCAACTTCCTACTAATTTTTGCTAGGTCAACAGCTTGGATAATCATAGCTCTGTCCTTCCAATTGCAAAGCACTTGTTTTGTCCTTTTACCTTCATTCAGAGTAGGAATTTATTTTGGAAACAGTGAAGGTATAAGCTAACTCATAGATTCAGTCTTTTTTCTTGAAAAA